TTTTTTCTAACAAACAAAAAAGAAATAAATTTACTTTTTTGGGTTTTCCCATTATATCGGATAACATCATTTAATGCCCTTCTCTGGCCTCTGATCATTATCCCATTTGGTGGCAAACTCCACATGCTAAAAAAAAAAGATCAATACATGTATAAAAAATACAATATAAACTTAGGCCTCGTTCATTTCAACGATTCGAGTTTTTAGTTTTAAATTTCTACAGTAAAAAGCTCTCAGAAAATGTCATATCTAACTTTTTCTGCTACAATAAAAAGCTCTCAAAAAGTATCACATCTTAACTTAAATTAAAAATTCAAATTCGCACAGTGAACGAGCCTTCACCAAGACAAATAATATTCTCCAAACTGAAAACATATATTGGTTGATGTTCTACGTCAACCGTACCCTGTACCCGCATGCTTAGCTGTTGTGCATGTGGAACCCTTTGAATGCTGAAAACGACGCATGAAACTTTCTAGATATGGGATTTAGTACAAATCTACGTAAGCATAGGGAGTAACACTGTAAAAACAAAAATCCCAAAATTATATATATATATATGTATTTTTTATTTACCATTCATATTTACTGTGTCCCTCAAGAAGACTGAACGGTAAAGGAAAGTTGCAGCCTTTTATTGGGTCTTTCAGGTGTGGTAAAGATTCGTGTTACTAGCAGCTTTTGTCATTAAATTATGTTTCTTCTTTTACTATTTACTTCGTTAATTAAGCCGAGGTGAAAAAGTTAAAAGGGGAAAGTTAAACGGGAACAGAAAGAAATGAGGATCATCACTGGAATAATCAATGATGGGAAATGGTTATATATATTTTTTTCTATTTTTATTTTTGTGTTCTTTTGAGGGGGGAAAATAGTTTGCACAAAATTTGCAAGAGTACAGACCAATAATTTAATGGGGCTTTAAATGGAAGGAGTCCAAGTGAGGCTGAAATTTTTCTGACTGGCCTGTGACACCATCATTTTGGAATGTGATGTGAATTCAATCAATTTTTGTTAGTTGGGATGGAATTTAAGAGAGATAGAAAACCAAAAATAATATTAATAAAAACATTTACATAATTTCATAAAAATAAAAAAAAATAAAAAAAAAGGATGGGATGGGTCTTTATCAATAATACTTTTAAAATGGAGAACCAAACAAAGAGGGTATGATGTATGAACAGTAGTTCCTCAGTGTGACCACTGTCCTCTCCTAGCAGGCACTACAGTAAAATTAATGTAGCTGCCATTATTGTTTTACATTTTTGCCCTTCAATCATGGATAAATATCTATTCACCTTTTTATAATTGTTACCAAAAAAGGAGAGAATTTTCATTTATAATATACACAACCCACTGGAGAGAGAGATAGATTTGTTTAATTCATTGATAATGATGGTGAAGGATTAAGTTAAGCTATTTGGTGGATTAAAAAAATTATTGAGACGATAGGGATAACGATGTGGGTTGGTTTTGTGTGGTGATTATAATTAATTATGTTGGATGATTATCTGTTCAATCTAAAATACTTTATTAAAAAAAGGTGGAAACCTGCCTGGCCTAGCTGGTTTCTGATTAATGTCCAATTCTTGATTTATCCATTTATTTATTTATTCATTCTTTCTTTCATTCTTTTGTGTTGTTTGGTTTTGAATTGAGTAGACAAAAGAAAAAGGAAAGAATCAACGTGATTTGGGCACCCTACCCTATTAAAGACTTTTTAAAATTTTCTTTGGCGCTTAATTCATGAGTGGATTGAGCTGTACTGTTTTAGCCATTAGTAAAGACCACCCATAAATCATCATGCTAAAGATCATTAAAAATAATGTTTATTTACACAACTCAAGTCATGATTTGAGCTGTGCATGTGAGAAAAAAATATTATAAAAAAAAAATTAAATTTAAATTTTTGTGAGAGAAAATACTATAACAATATGACTTTCCCTTTTTTGTTTTTTCCTTTTCTTTTCTGAAGTTAATTATGTATGAATATGACATCTTCTAATAACTTTATTTATGATGTTTAGAGATATATAAAACTAATTTAATTGAGTAAGTAAAAACTAAAAGTAATTTCATTAGATTAATCACATGTACTGGTTTATCCAATTGTATCTACATATAACTTTTTGATAATCCATTAATCCATATATGTTATGTAAGTTTTCACGTATGTGTATATACGTATATAGTGTATAATGCATGGTTTTTCCTAGTAAATATCCAAAATTCATCTCTAAAAACTTTCACATAAGAATGTATATGTGGGGGTTGTCTCCTTATCATTTTTTTTATTAAATAAATTATTGATAAGAAATATACCAAAAGAATTAATCTACAAGTTGCGAGAAATTGGTGAAGCTAAAGGACCAAAGAGTGCACCATATAAGAGAACATGTAGTGCAACTATAGAATAACTTGGTACTATAAAGAAACGACATGTTATATTGGCTTATCTCTCTCTGTTTCTTTCTATAAATGTGAAGCCACGACCAAAATAGTGCATATATTTATTTTTGTATAACCTCCGAACATTTTTTTTTTTTTTTATAATTAACCTTCGAACATATTCATCAGTCGCCTTGAATTATTGATTGTCAGCACGTCATGAGGGAATTCAGAATTGAAGTATACTTTTCCTAAAAAAAATAAAAAAATTAATTCGTTGAATTTTTTATTCTGCTACTAACAAAAATAATTATAAAGTGATTTTGTAGTTTTTTCAAGTAATATTTAAGCGTAGAAGAAAAAGTACATATTTTATATGTATATATTTTAATGCCGCATCATTATCATGACTATTATTTTAGAACTGTGACGCTTTGAAAATCAAATATTTTGCTTCTGATCGGAGTTACCTTCCAATTACAGTGCCTCTTTTGTCAACGATGGCTTGATAGTTTACGACAATTTGTATATCTTTATACAAACGACAACGGAAAAATAATTGCATGAGCTCCAAAATAGACTAAATATGTAAAATCGGTATATATAACAATAATATCATATTTATATTCGTAAAAGGAAAAGGGACAGGCGATATATAATGGAAACACTTCTTATCCATTTCAAAATTACTTTATTCGATAAGCAAAAAAAAAAAAAAAAAAGGAACTTTATTCAATTACGAAAGAATAAACGACTGGCCAATTAATCTATGATTTTTTAACGTTACTTTTTTGTTGGATTTTAATCTTTTATGAAACATTTTCCTGTCATTTTGGCCTTTAATTAATTGCATCCAAAATATTATTATTATTATTATTTGAAATGGCAGCCAAATTAACATGGCATATCTTGTCCGGCTTGCCAATTTGATATAGTGCACCTTTGTCGCCCCATTTTACAATTCTATTTGATCTAACTACATAACTCTCTCTCTCTCTCTCTCTCTCTATATATATATATATATATATACACCACATAATTCTCCTTTCTATACAGTCTGTGACTGATCTATATATGTTTTGTATAACCTTATATATTATTAATTACTAGGAGTGTCCAAATGGACAAAAGAAAATAAATAAAAAAAGTTTATTATTATTATTATTTTTTTTTTTTAAAGAAAGGAAGAAGAAACAAAAGTGTGGGGTTGGGTTGGGGTGAGCTGTCCGTCTGAAATATATGTTTTTTTATCTGATGCTTACCTGCGCTGTCTATTATAATGCCGAGCTGACTCTCGTATATTCATCCTAATAATTTTACCATTCAACTCCCACAGTTATAATTAAGCTCCTAACACTCAACAAATACCAATTCCTTTTCTTTTCCTCACCTAATCACAAAACACCAACTGATCTTCTAAACAAACCTTATTTTAGACCAAACGTTGACGAGGTCATGTTGTAAGAGAATCCCATGAAATAGAAGGAAAAAAAAAAAAAAAAAACCATCAAAGTCTAATTTGAGTTAAAATATGATGTTGTGTGAGAATTTTTTATTATAATAAAAAAAATATATGTGATTATTTTTAAAAAAATTTTACTGTAATAAAACTTAAATTTTAAAGTTGAATCAGTGAAAAGATGGGGTATTAACTAGTGAGACACAATGAGGCTTTCCGAGGGGCAAAACGAACGGGTAAAAGAAAAATCAAACTCCTTATGTTTGACGTGATATGATATGGGCCCTTCTATTTTTGTCCAATGGGGCACCACAACTCTGCTAAAAGGACAATGTTACCCTCCATGTCGAGGCCAACCTGGGCATTGGCGATGCAAGGATAATGTTGGGTTTTCAAAGCCCAAAAATTTTGGTGGGAATGTCCAGAGCATAAATTGAAGTGGTGCTCAATTCCAAATATTTGTTCTTGCAAAACCCAAAAAAAAAAAAAAAAAAAAAAAGTTTTTACTGGGTATGTACTATGTATTATTTGTATGTGATTTTTGCAACATTGAGGCTTTATTTATTTATTTATTTATTTTTATTTTTTAGAATACCCCACGAGTGGGCTTTCTGCTTTCTTTCTGGCTTCTGCTGTTTTTTTTTTTTTAAATTTTTTTTTTTAAATTTTTTTTCCCCTCACAAGAAGGTCCCCCGCACCTGCTTCTCTCTCTATCTATCTATCTATCAATCTAAGCCTCCCTTGACCTACTCAAACCCTCTTTCTCTCTCTGTCCACTATCTTTGTTCTTGCTGCAGCTCACGAAGACAACAGTCAATCACGAAGCAAAGAAAGAAACCCCACCCACTGTTAGTCTTAGTTAGGTCCAAAAACCCTGTAAGATATTTAGATTGATAGAAAAAGATTATAAACAAAAACTTTTTCACTCCTCCACTCCACACATACCTTCTTCTCTCTCTCTCTCTCTCTCTCTCTCCAAAAACGAGAGACAAAACCACAAATAATAGTGGGACTGGGGTGGGGAGGAGAAGAATAGAGAGAGAGAGAGAGAGAGAGAGAGATGGGGGCTGAGAATTCAGCCTTAAAACCCCTCCTCTAAAAGAGAGAGAAGTGGGGGCGGGAAATACACCCTTAAAACCCCCCCCCAAAAAAAAAAAAAAAAAAAAAAGGGAAAAATTAAAAAAGAATATTAAAAAAAATTAGCCATCCAAAAAAATTAAGCCCACACCCCACCCCCCTTCCCCACCAAATGGACTTAGCAGATTTGCAAAGCAACAAGCAGAACACCTCCAACACCAACAACTCAGCTCGCCAGCAGAACCAGCTTCTTCTTCATCACCATCATCATCATCATCAACAACAACAAAAACAATCATCGTCTTCTTCTTCCCCACAGTTTGTGGTCCCTTTTGATGGCAGATCATCGTCTTCCGGAGGAGGGCAAGGTCCTCCTTTCATGGGCTCCATCTCCATCCAAGCCGGTCTCACTGCCACAGCTGGAACGACGTCGTCTTCTTCATCGTCATCCTCTTCCTCATCCTCCTCTTCGACTTCGACTTCGACAGCTCCGCCTCACCTTGTCGACGCTTCCCTCGCCATCGCCACCAGATCCACCCCTCTCGTCGATTCCTCAAAGGTAAAGAACAATAATAGTAATAACAACAATAATGATAATCTCAATCAGCAGCAGCAACAACAACAATTGTCGATCGTTCCGCCGCCACCGGTGAAACGATCGACGAAGGATCGGCACACGAAAGTGGACGGTCGAGGACGGCGCATCCGAATGCCGGCGACCTGCGCCGCCAGGGTGTTTCAGCTGACGAGGGAGTTAGGGCACAAGTCCGACGGCGAGACGATCGAGTGGCTTCTCCAGCAGGCGGAGCCGGCGATCATCGCCGCCACCGGGACCGGAACAATTCCGGCGAATTTCTCCACACTAAACATCTCGCTCCGTAGCAGTGGATCCACGCTTTCTGCTCCGCCGTCGAAGTCCGCGCCTCACTCATTCCACGGCGCGTTGGCTCTTGCGGCGGCTCATCATCACCATCACTTCGATGAGGCCGGTTTCGCCCACGCGGGATTGTTAGGGTTTCATCCTCAGCAAAATCAGCAGAATCAGCAGACTCTCATGGCCGAAGCGCTTCCGAGCGGAGATAACAACAACAATAACGGAGGAGGAGGTGGAGAGACGACGGAGAATTATATGAGGAAACGATTCAGAGAAGATCTGTTCAAGGACGATAATAGTAGTTCCCAATCGCAACAACAAGGCGAAGAATCGTCGTCATCGCCGTCAAACAAGACGTTCAAGCAAATGCCTAACAAGCAAGACCCTGCCGCCGGATCTTCCGCCGGCTTGCTTCGCCCTTCGAACCTTCTTCCGCCGACGGCGATGTGGGCTGTTGCTCCGAGCAGCGGAGCTGGCAGCACGTTCTGGATGCTACCTGTCACTGCCGGCACAGGTGTATCGCCGGTTGCACCGGCGACGTCGGAGCAGCCCCACATGTGGACGTTCCCGACGCCGCCGCCGAGCCACGGGAGCACATTGCAGGCGCCGCTGCACTTCATGCCGAGGTTTAATCTCCCCGGCGGCATTGATTTCCAAGGCGGTGGCCGAGGAAGCCAGCTCCAGTTAGGGTCGATGCTGATGCAGCAACACCCGGGGGCGGCGGCGGCGCAGCCTCCGCAGCCGTCGCAGCAACTCGGGCTCGGGGTTTCGGAGTCCAATTTAGGGATGTTGGCGGCGCTTAATGCGTACTCAAGAGGCGGTTTGAATATAAATTCCGATCATCATCAGAGCCATCCATTGGAGCATCATCAGCATCAGCATCAGCATCAGCATCAGCATCAGCATCAGCAACATCAGAGTCAAGCTACTAACAGTGGAGATGAGGATCCAAATAATTCACAATGACATGGATTCAGAGACTCCTATGATATTTATACAACTTGGTTAGTTGCTCTTGATTCTTATATATATAAATTCCATTTTTTAAAGAAAAAGTATTTATAGGAGTAAGGAGTGCTAGAGATTGCTGGGTTTGTTTTCATTTGCAGATTTGGGAGTTTGAATTTGTGATAAATTTGAGTTTGAGTGCTTGAAAAAAATTTCATGGATGGCCCATCTGAAAAGATAGGTTGCTAGTTGCCATTGTAGTTTTGTTTTTGTTAATTTTTGGTGAGTTGTAGTAGTTAATATTCTCTCTCCCTCTCTCTCTCTTTTTTTTCCCCTAATATTCTAGATTGCTTTGGAGAGGAGATTGATATGTAATTTGTTAGTTTGGTTGGTCCAAAAGGGACCCAAAAAAGAACAGGCAGAGTGAGATTGTATAGGAGGATTTATCTATTTGTGTTTAGTGTATTATTATTTGCATTTCTGTTTGTATGAGATGAAAAAATGGAAAAACGAGAAAAAGTAATTAAGAAAAAAAAAGTTCAATAAATTCTGTTATCGGCATGCATGCCTTTCTCTTCTTTCTTCTCTTTTTCTACATCGTATAAAGCATCTCTTTTCTCTCTTTTTTTAGTGGAAAAAAGCTAAAGCCAACGAAAAATGAGCTTTTTATTTTTATTTTTTGTAACTTTTACCCATTACGAGATGGATGCCGAGTGGAAGAAATTCTTGCTCGATGTGTTTAAATCCTGACCCTCCAACAAAGTTTTCTCTGAAAATGAGGGGGAAAAAAGAAAAAATATAAAATATAAAACAAGCAACATAAGCAGTCTTTTTTTTTTTTTCCCCTTCCTTTCTCTAAGTCTAACAAATCTAGGCTAGAATTTTGTTACCGTAAAGAGAGAAAGACCCAACTACTGGGGTATCTTGTAAGAATCTTGGTTATGGATAGGAAGAGATTTTTATTTACGTGATGATCAAGTATTGTTTAGCTTGTTCGTTAAGTTTTCCTAGAGCATAGCATGTTTAATGTTTTTGAAACATTCCTATATAAATATGGATATGCTTTTTTATTGAATTCTAAAACCCTTGAGCAACCAAATGGAAAATTATCTTAGGCAGAGGTTACTTTAAAATTGCTTTTGGTAAAACTAGTTGTACAATCTAAAAATTATATCGGTTGCTTATGGATATGGAAAACCACGCTTTTGCTCTCTATTATTGATGCTTTAAAAAGAAAATTCAAAGCTATTAAAAACAGAGATAAGAGTTTTTGTTTTTCTGCTCTCAAATTGTATCATAAACTGTTTGTTTTATATACTTTTTGTTTCATATGATTTTAATTAGATCCGTGGTTAAAAACGACTAAAAACATGAGGACGTTTAGTTTATGTATTTAGAATCATAATGCATAATTATTTTTATTTTAAATGTATTTTTTGTGAGAAAAAATACTATAAAAAATTATAATTAAGAATCAAAAATAAATATAAGAAACAATACGATAGTACCTCATCGTAAAAGGATCCTTAGAAAGAAAGAAAGAAAGAAAAATGAGGAAGAAGGGGAGGGGGAGAGAGATTAAATAACCTTGTGTTGAAGCATGGGTCGGTGAGAGTGACTTCTGTTTTGACCTCTACAGTCAATTCAGATGACTATCGTTTTGATTGCTTAATCATTTTTTCCCATTTCCCTTCCTTCACATTATTGGTGATTTGCAATGGTCTCCTCGGTTGCTTTACTATTTGTACTTTCTTGCTCACTCATTTTTGGTGTTTTTCTAGTTGATCCCTTTAAAGATCTTCATTTATTCCAAGGAGGAAAAAAAAAAAGTTTCTCGTTTCATAAAAGGGTTTCTATCCATTTTATTTGTTCTATATCTTAAACAAGATTCCTTTCTCAAAAAGATAATTTGTACTTTTACCCTTTACGTAGAATTGGGTATTTCTTGATTTGTAGTTTTTGGTTTCTTAAAGCTCTATTTTCCTTAAAAATTTCCCAACTTTTAGTCAATTCTAAGCTACCTAACTGGATTATACCACAGTGAAACAATATATATTATTATAATGTCACAACGTTTTTAAATATATTATATACATATATATAGCCGTGAATTGTGATCCCAACCTGTAAAATGAAGAAAAATAATCGAGCACATCAAATTGATGCCAAAGAGGGATTTGCCTAATAGCAGACAAAATTCAACTTTCATCCAATTGATAAGAAATTGATCCCACATAAAGCAAATTTGCTTTATTATAATCTTTCGACCTCCAGTTTTCTGGAAGCGTTAGTGGAACACTAATCCCGCAATTTACGCAAGGAAAAGCTACAAAATTGGGATTAACACATATATATAAAAAGAAAACGACACGATTTTAACCAAAACTTTTTTAATATAATAAACTAGGAAAAAGTTGAATATTTTGACTTTTCTTGTTTGAGAGAATTAAAATAAAACATTTGTTAATGTTATGGTACTGTTTGAGAAGAAAAGAGACACGATGACTTGAAGGAGCTTTATCATGATGAGACGGTGTGTGATCTGTAAAGTGAATGAACGATCAGGATTGATTCCGTTTTGGTCTGATCCAATTGTCACGAAACAATGAATACAATACTGTTTTTTTTTTTTTTTCTTTTTTTTTTTTGGCAATCGGAAAAATGATAATAATGAATCCACGCGCTTCACGTGATCCAATCATATGTGGCGTAAGTGCGGTTTTGGTAGAAGAGTAGAGGAGTGAGAGCGCGCGTGGCTTAAAAGCAGAAAAACACGGTTTTTGTTTTTTATATTATTTTTGCTAGGCAGAAACACTGATTACTCTTTGTTCAAAAAAAAAAAAAAAGAAAAAGAAAACACTGATTACTCTTTTTTCTCTCATTCCTCTCTCTCTTCTCACACGTGAGGCCACACACTCGGGTACAACCTTTATTATTCATTTTTACACAAATTTTCTATTTAATAATCGGCAGTATTGTTACATTTTTGAGCCTCTCCATTTGAGTTCTAACCCGTCAAAAATTTCATCGGTTAAGTTTACATTTTTTTCTTCCCGTTTTAATATGAATACAATGTAAATTAACAGTAACTTCTATGATGTTAAGAGAAGAATTCCCAACATCGTGTCAGGAATACAATATTTTGTACATTTTACATTAAAAACTTATGAACTTCAAGTGTTGAAGTTGTATAAATTATGATAAACTTATAAATTTAAAATAAATACGATAATTTATACATTTTATGTTGAAATTAGTAAACTTCGAACGTTGGGATTATATTAAGGTACAAACAATTTTAAAACCGACACTACAGAATTCATAATTTGACATTCAAAAATGTGCAATATGAATAGAAAATCCCCGCCTTTGAAGAAGTTCTAAAAGGAAAAGGCAAACCTGCTGTTGCAGTAATATAAAAAGTCTTAAAACGTGCTAGACAATGAGTTGAAACTTCGCTAATAACTTTCCTAAGATGTTTTTACAGCTAATCTTGAACTGGGGCTAATAAATATATTATCAAATACAACTAACAATAAACCAATGGCAACAATGGTAAACCTTTTTATTTATTTTTCAGAAAACAATTTAATTGGGACCGACATTTGGGTGGGTCACAACTCTCAATCAATTGCGATTCTTTTCCAACTTGTTCTTTAGCTATATGATAATCGAGTGAAAATGGGTAGAAAAGACCCAAGGATATACACATGATCTAATAGGTCATACCGTCCAATTCAGAGAATAGTTATATGATGACGCAGATGGGACAACGACCAACCAAATCGAATAGATTCTGCAGAAGGTTCTAAAACGACATGACACTGCCAAAGGGAACCCTTTTTTTTTTTTTTCCAAAAAAGGACGCACTAAATTTACATTTTTACAGAAAGAGAAAGCAGTAAATAGCTTCAAAGCTGATGAAATCATTGTTGGTAAACATTCATTCAATAACTGACCAACAAGACTATAACCATGTAGCGGAAACAATGACAAACTACCTTTTAACTAATTTCTATACAGATGAAACCCTTTTTTTTTTTTTTTTTTCTCTTGGTTTTGGAAATCAATATGAGACTTTTGTTAAACCCATTTTCCTATGTACATTAAAATAAACACAAGATACCTCCAAGTTGTTGATGATACTTGATCTTGAAGGATTAGAGTCAATTTTTTTGTGTCTTCTGGCTTATCGGCTTGCAAAACCATTCATTATTCTGATGGGAAGAGAGATCAAGGAATGGTACTTAAAGCAAGCACTGTACAAATCTCTTGCAATTTGGCTTCTTGTTCTGAGGACGTGCAAGCTTAAAGCCAAAAATTTTAGAGTGCCTTATTGTCTTTCGGCTGTTGCTGGGATTCGAACGGCAAAAGCGACAAGATGCGCAATCTATGGAATTATTCAGGAAAGGTATCAGCTTTCTATGGGGCTATTTGTTGAGCATTCAGCCTTTTTGTTTGTTGCTTTCTTCCAAGGGCTCAAGTGACAGCAATTATCTATATCTGATATCTAATTCAATAAAAAGATATAAGAAAGATGATAGCTTACAATAAAGTATCAGCAGCGTAAAATATTGGAAGCCTTCCCAATTCTGTGTCTGCCCATTTTGTTCTTTGAGAAGAGAGAACTTTCTCGGCCTCTGAATCAGTTGCTGTCAGAACAAACTGAAACAGAACATTTGTTTTTTAATTAAAGCATAGAAGAATGCTCAAACTTTATAGAAAGCAAAAAAGTATAAAACAAATGGTCATCAACTTTCTTTTCTCCACTGTCTAAAAAGGCTTGTAGAAGATACCAATGGAAACAGTATGGCCATAATGCCATATGTCACGAGAGGTGAGAAGAAGAGAACAGGAAGAACACATGGGCTTCCTGCAGAGTCATTAACGACTATACTTTAAAACGTGATCTCACTAACCTAAATATTACGTATGGGATAACATATGAAAGTGTCTAATATCTCCAAGTTACATGTTTATAGAATTCCCCTATAGAATATGATCAAATAGTTTAGGAGTCTTGGATTCTATATTATGTTAAACAATCATCGTTGGCCTATTTGGAAGCTGATAAGGGAACAGAAAAGAGAAACCATGTGAATAAAAAAGTACAGGTTTTTATGTTACGTAACGATCACTAAGTGGGCATCCAAAGGAAAACGAAGATGTACTCACTGAAGTTATAAAATGGCTAAAAAATAATAGCACAAGTTAAAAAATATTGTACCAAAACCAGCAAAGAATGCCCAGTTAGATTCAAAAAGGTTCAGCCTCTTGTCCAGAACAATCTCAGCATGATTCCATTTGTACCTTGCAAATTCAAAGGTGCAATTAGCACAAATCTTCACAACAGTAAGTGAAACGGCTCAGAGTGAAAAGAAGCAGATGAACCACATACTCGAAACTGTAATAGGCATATATCCAAGAAAGAAGTAGAAAATTTATTGCCTTCCCCAAGTAGGGTACAAACCCTGTTGCAAAAACCTGAACATACAAAAACCATAAAACCCATAGGGGTGCTTTTTCTTCCCCAGAATTGCAAATAATGGTGATAAAAAAGATAAGTGAGAGTACATAAAGGGGCAAAAAAAGAAAAAAAGGACCCTTTTTTTACCTCTATGAAGAAGACGGTCAAAAGAAGTATTGAATACACCTGCTCTCCTATTCCAATCATAACCCTACACATGAATGAAATAGAAAGAGTTGAATGAAACACAACGAGTGTTAAAGTAGTGAATACTTGGGAAGAAACACCCAGAATCAGCTGTGATAAAGAATTAACTAAAACCTGAGAACATGAAAAAAGTTAAAACTTTACCCTCCCAGGCCAGCAGGTCTTCCCACCCGACCTGTATTTTGCAAGGTCAACATCTCTTTCTGTCTCAAGCCATCCTTTTTCAAGGGCTCAGATCTGTCTGCAGCAGCAAAACCACACTCAGCAATATCACTGTACCTGGATTTTATATTTTCAGATTCATGAGAACAAAAGAAAATATCAATATTGAGTAGAATCGTATGCATAGTAACTTGGATTGTTATTGGAAATAATTATGTTTATTTGAGATAGGATACGCTAAATTTTCTTCAAAACATCGTGGAATTATAATAAGTTCAGAAATGAATGTTTGGTAATTAAGGTAAAACTAAAACTTATAAACAGAGAAAAGGAAAAAAAGATGAAACAAAGGTGAGGAAACAATACCAGAGGGTGCTCAGAATAAAGCTGAATACATACAATGGGTAGAACCACGTTATCTGCAAGCGGCGATCAGTTATATGATTTAATCATCAAAATAAATTATAAACTTATTATTACATTAGGAAGACCATTTGGCATAGCTATGGATAGATGATATCAGCAAGTATGGTTAATATTGTAACTTTGTAAATGAACACTGCTCACTTACATAAAAGAGTTGTATGAGCTGAACACGTAAGAAGGAATAAAATTTTAAAACACCCCCAAACGAGCAGAGTTGTTGAGAATTAAACTGTGCACAGTCATCAGGTAATATCCAATGTAGCATTGGGATGATAACTTTGTTTAGGAGGAAAATACTGCGTGAAGAAAGGTTAAGAAAATCACATCACTTGACTTGGACATACATGATTCAAAATGCACTGAAAGCATTAATGCATCAACTAAGTATATCTAGCTAATATAGAATATAGACGACCAATGATAGAAAACGTTATCACTGGCATAGTCATAACTAATAGAAGAGAAACATCAAATTACGCAAATCAACTGTGAGAAAACAAGAGGAGAAAATTACAAAAACCTCTCCAGGTTTAAGTTAAATACGATGTTTCACTTGCATTATTAAAATTACAGAAGTAACCGTTTAGCCCTTAAAAATTCCATCCCTGATGCGATATTTGGTCAAAACTGGACACAAGGATTGCCTTCAACTAAATTTGGGATAACTAAGGAGAAAAGGTTTGTCAGGACAAACTAGGTATTTTGTCAAATTTTGTGACATTATGACGCAGCAAGAAGTTCATCACAAGCCAAATCTAAGGCATACTCACGGAATCGCGAAAAAGCCAAATAGGGATCTGCTTCTATATTCTATACTCAAAAAATTATCCTACAAGATTGTGTTGACAGCTTACATATCTGATACAAACAAACTACAAATACAACTTATCTCGCAAGCCATACGACACTACAAGCAACCTGACAACACAAAAATGGCCGCAGTTGAGATCAGAAGAAGAGAAACAATTCATCCCATCAAAAAGATCTAGCTTAAACAAGCATTATATCAAGTTGTTTGACCATAAAGCTAGACTTTGAGCAAACATATAACATCCAGCTTAATCGAGTTTCAGTTCAGCATCATCCACTTTGTGCCCAAAATAGGTATTCTTTAACAAATTCCCGGAGAATGGAAAAGAAGAAAGATCAAGGAAAGGGACTCTCAGAAATTTTATTGGGCATACCAGCCACAACTATTCTAAATAATTGCCTTATAGAGAATACTCTCAGCAACAGCTATTACAATCATTGAAAAATCATTGTCAAGATGTATGGCATATGATCAATTAAATGAAGCTAGATAATGATACAATTGTTTGTTGATCACTTGGATAAAGCATTTAAAAGACTTTCAACATCAAAGGTATTAGAATAACCTCAAAATAGAATCAAAGTATAGAAAATTGACAAATTTTATTAACATCTGTAGAAAAAAGTTCAATCCAAAAACTGCGTATTTGTTATCCAATAAAATGAGAGAGACATTTATATATACATACACACACATACCTCCCCAAGAAAATGAAACCATTTAATAGAAAACATTGACCTGTGCGAATCGAAAGCTTTCTTGACCTGCCATATCAATATAATAAAACCTGTTCAATTTCTGAAAAAGAAAAAGGAAAATAGAGAAGGAAAAAGTGAAAATCCATTGATATGATTCAGTTACATTCTAAAGTAAGTTTCACTCCGAAGATACCAAGCTTTAGAATTAAATTTTTTTCGTTTTCTCGGCAACCAAACAGAAAGTAAAAGAGGATTCTTTTTCAATCCAAAGCAAAAGGATTGAGAGAGAGAGAGAGACCTGAGACAGAGAAGGAAAACGCGATGAAGACAACAGGCTTCTCTGAAGCCTTCAAGCCAAAGCAGAGAAGCCTTCTTTAGTTTTGCTGTGAAAGCAATTACAGAGGAGGCTTTCGTGGCTTCCATTGTTGTACGATTGGAACTCCGAAAGCGAGCGAGAGACGGACAGAGATGGACTTTACATAAGTGAAATAAACTTGCCTGTGGCTTTGATAACGTCACGTTTGGTGATCCTCACCCGATCAAGGAAAAGTTACACAACTTGGTGAATAATAATATATTCGACGTTATCTGGAGCATAAATTCTATCTAATTATCTGCAGCAAAAGTAAAAGAGTGAAAGATTTTAAATTAGTTAATTTAATTTTCATGAAAAAAAAGAAATTAATTTAAAGGATTAAACTTTTTATTGCACTAATAAACAAAAATTTCAAAAAGAAATACTAATTTTAATTATTTTCTTATACGTCATTATAACATAAAATTCATCTAATAACTATATATATATATATACCGACAATTATGGTACCATAATCCGTATCAATTTTCTATTTTCCCCCTTAAAAATCAGTATTAATTCAAAAAAAAACGTGCTAATTAAAAGGATTAAGCTTGATTTCTTTAAAAAGGATTAAACTTTGATTTGAAAGATAATTTTGTATTTTAAAAATAATAAGGAAAAATTTTGTATTTTCCTGTTAAAAAAGAATTTCCGCCACGTGGAGCATCCATGGAAGCATATGATCTAGGTTGCACCAAAATTTGGCGCATCTGAGAAGGTACCAAACTAGCACGCACAATCTTTCTCGTTACTCTGTGACGAAGTATCGGACTTTTCAGAGAGAGAAAAAGAGAGAGAGAGAGAGAGAGAGAGATGGCGCAGCAGCAGAGCAAAGAGCCGTGCAAGAAGGAGGCTTGCGACATTCAAGCTTGTCTCTCCAAGAACAACTTTCTCCCTCAAAAGTACGTCTCTCTCTAATTCCATTCTCCAAACTCTTTCGCTTTGATTTCTTCCCATGTTGTTTGGTTTCATAGAAAACGTAAAGGAAAATGCTTCAACTTTTCATTTATATATTTGTTATTATCTTTTTATTATTCGTATTATTGTTTTATTGAATTATCGCGACTTGATGGAGAAAATCATCACGATTTAAGCTTATGATTTGGTATTAAGTTTTAGCTTATGATTTGGGGCTTACTATTTCGATTCCTTTGCTTTACCATTTTTGATGTATCACATTTAGTCAATCCCGGCTATTGCTAATGCCTTAATAAAGATATTTCCTTGCTTATAGAACAATGGTGTAAAATTCAGGTTGAAGAAATTTCGATTCTCAAATTCATATCCATATCCAAAAGTAATGTCTTTGGCATAAATGAAATAATTAGGAGAATTTTTCAGTTGGTGTAAAATATATATGTATATAGATATTCAATTGATATTATGCAGCACAACTCTAAATCCGCATTGCTTTATCAACTTTATTAAATCTATGTACCTTTTATATTATAATGTGATCTAACCTTCAGAATTACACAGTATCTGTTTTAATTTTTTTTTTTTTTATTTTCTAAATCTTGTTAAATTTTTTAAGACACATTGCCCGTTTAGGAAGAGTTGGGTGCTGTGAATGGAGGTGTTTTTCCGAGGATATGTTCTTTAGATAATAAGCAATCTACCATATTCCTTTAGGACCATATTCGCCATTTAGAGAAACATGATCTAGCAGACACTGACTAGGAGACATTCTTTAGATTCACACCTGGGTTTCTACTTTATTGTGAATGTTCTCGTCTCGTACAATGAGATGATGAGCTAGAATTTATTGGTAAGTGGGTATGCTTTAACTTCTACCACCTTGATTTTGATGGATGGGATTCTAAACAAGCTCAGTTCCTCCACAAGATACACTATAATACATAATATTTAGCTTCTTGACAATGTTGTAGAACTCGGGCTGTTTTCTCTTTGACATTGGATCCTGGGATTTCAGGAATCAGGATTGACGTGGCCTTCTTGTTAATGACGGTGTATTACTTGATTTTGCATGCTAATGCGTGTTTTTGATCCATTCTGTAACAATATAAAGCATCTCATATCTTACAGATTTTGTTAATGTGTTGCTTAGTGCAATGTTCGTGCCTCTTTTGCCCGATTGTGCTTTGGTTTATTTCCCCCCGCAGGTGTGTTACTGTCATTGAAAAGCTGCAGTTTTGTTGCGAGAAATGTAATTACGACTCCACACACTGTGCTTCTGTTGCTGGTCTTCTAAAGCAAATATCCAAGAAAAAATGATGGTCTTATTTTTTATTATAGACGAGCCATGACTTGCCTGTAGAGAGTAGAGACTGACTATTGGAGAACGAAAAGACCCTTTTTGTGGGAGTTTTGATTTTTGTTAGTTGGTAGCGGAGAATAAGATTGCTGACAACATATCCTCATCTGGATGAGGATTAATTACCAACCGGTGAAAGAAATATCCTATTACAGGAATACTTTATAGTTGTGCATGAAGCTCATTATTCATTTGTGATGTGTATTTTTTTTTTTTTTACCCCAGTAGAAAGAAGCGATTTATGGTTACAACTTCATTTTGTTCTTTCTTTACTTATATGATTCTCCATCCAATCATGTTATATGTGGTCATTATGAGCTCCTCTTCTTTTGAACTGAAGTTTATAATAAAGGCACGAAACCATTTGCATCTAGATCTCCATGTAATGGTGTTGGGGCTCTAGCCCTAAAATTAGGGCCCGTTTAGTTCGTTAATTCGAGTTGAGATGTGATTTTATGTGAGAATTTTTTACTGTAACAAAAAAATTAGATGTGATTATTTTTTAGAGCTTTATACTGTAATAAAACTTAAATTTTAAATTCAAATCGGTGAAATAAACAGTGTCTTAGTTTGTACATTTTGTACTCTTTTAACTTTTCCCATCTTTTCTTGGTTATTGTTAAGAGGCTTCCTTGTAGTTACTTACAAACTTGTCTAAGTTCAGAAATTTGAATTGCAAATCCCGTTCTGCTGGGGTATACAAATATTCTAGTTGTTGGAGAAGTATTGTTTTTAAAAATTCACCATTTTCTCTCGGGGATTGTCGTGAAAAGAGAGTTGGGAGGTGAGCAAGTAGCTAACCTGCGTGAAGTTGAAAGATAACTCAAAAGTCCAATTACTAAGAAGGAAGCCTATGTACTTATCAAAGTTATTGAAGAGTGATAGAGGTACTCTGTATGGTATCTGTTTGGTAGAGGTCAAAAGTGAGGGGAAAAAAAAAAGAGGAATAAACTTCCTTTCATTCATCTCATAGCAAACAAGATAAAAGTAAAACCATTCACACAATCTCTCTCCATAGCATGGTTTTCCATCTCTTCTTTGTTCTTTCCATCTCACCAAATACAGTGCAACAAACTAGAGAAAACCTTCCGAAGCCACTAGCAAGATAGCAGGGAATGCCTAAACTTCACTTGCACGTTATTGTCTATTCAAACAAAGATATTCGCACAAAATTTTCAGAGTTGTCTGATTCTTCAAACATTGTTATCCACCCCATAGCCATTTGCCATAAATTAGGGTGGACTGACTCAACAAACAATTCAAGCATCGGTACAACTACAGAAATGCAACAAACTGCCCCAGGCATCAACTACAAAGCATTACAGCCCGAGTTTTGAAAGAAGCTCTCTCCATCTTGGCGTCTCTTCATCGAAAATGTATGTCACAGGGGAAATCAAAACCCCACTTCCTCCAATCTGCACCAAAATAATAGCAATAGTTATCCCAACACGTTTCTTAAGGTTTAACCAAAACCTGAAACCGGGTGAAAATAGGTGAATCAAGATCTAATGACGTGCAGATGTAAGACGTTCAAGAGATCGAAGCTTCTCCCTAGAACTAAAGAGTAACAAGAACTGTAGCAACTATTTTACCAATTTTTGATACCAACTCATGTAGCAGGTGAACGTGTCTTCTTTTCATTGGCATATGCAACTTTTTAATAATTGAAGTGGCATTTTTTTAACTCTTACCAATAAAAGCGTGTAACTCATATCACAAGTCAATTGGGATTAAAAAGTTGGGGCTCCTACATTATTTTGAATATGTTTGGAGAGAAAAAAAAAAAAAAAAAAGAGATTCACTCTCCTATTTTAAGGAAAAGGGGGAGAATTGGGCTACGGTTAGCACAAATTCGAAGCTGGAGTAAGTGAGCCTGAGTGGACTGGTTCGATGGATGTAAATGTGCTGGTTGATATAGCAAATCTTACTCTCGTAGCATCTAAGAAGGGAACAGAGAGAAGACATTACAATCACTATCAGACTCACCGCTCTTAGTTGTTGCACAGACTTGTAGAGTGCCTTCTTGGGTACACATATGACTATGGCATAGTAATCAGCTACCACTTTTCCATCACGTCTACAGAATACAGGACTTACGGTGGGACCCTACACAGAGAATGATTTAAGAAAATAAAGGGAAAAAAGGTTAGAAAGTTCCTAGTTCCTGAGGGTGAAAAGGGTCTCAGCTGCTTATAATACGTGTGTGTGTGTGTGTGTGTAAGAATGAAATCTGTTGACAGTCAAATTGAACCTATCGCTTACTCTAAAATCTCACCTGCAAGCCAGACAATGACGTTTGACTGAGGACTCTCTCAGCCACTTCCTCTGCGCTACTTCCTCTCATGTTTGCAACCACCTGCCATGAAAAGTGTCAGAAACAACATATAATCTAAAGGCTGAAAGAAAACACGTTGGAGAATGAAATATGATATTCCGCACCGTGAATTGACCCACTGCCCTCAGATGTGCCTCCAATCTTTCAATAATCTCATGTGTCGTGTCGAGTACTCCTTTCCTCTGTATCAATGATCTTCGGCTTGCAATAAGAACAGCCTGAAGAACATTTGGTTTCCAAAGTAAGATAGGATCTAGTAAATGCACAATGCAGAAACAGCTACTTTAAGACACTAGACCAGATACATTGCAAAGGGTAACCCACGAACAGAAAAGGACTTTGCTTACTTGGCTTTCTAATACAACTCCACCTTCAATTTCTTTCAAGTTATTTTCTCTCAAGGTTGTCCCACTGCTCACAAGGTCCAAAATAGCATCGGCTATCCCCATCTGAATTTGAAGAAAGACCATTAGTATATTAACGAGCATCAGTGCCATAAGATAGCTAACGGCAAAACCAACACTGCAAGATGAAAATGTCTCCAAAATAATAAAAGAATACTACAGGGAAATATCGTAGCTCCATAAATATTTAAAAATATTTACTCTATTTTTAACAGGGCATTTGAACAATTCTCCTTTTAAGTTCGGTTGATGGGGTCTGTTGCTATGACACTCATGTAAATGTATGTGCAAATATTGTTTCCAACAATATCTTACCGCAGGAGCTGCCTCTAGAGCTCCATCAGCAGTTGAAAAAGTCACGTGCTTGAGTCCATTTTCTTTCATAAATTTAGGACCCAGCTGCACAAAAGGAGAAAAAATAAAGATATAATCAAGTGAAAACTTGCAATGAAGAGCACCAAAACAAATCTGAAAAAGCTCTTGGACATACGTAAGTGAAGCCAGTAGCAACACGCAAAGGTTTTTCTTCCGTCCATTGAGGCATTTGGGCAAGCTCCTTCAAGGAATTTATGTTCTCGAAAATCCCGTATTTCGGAATCTGAAAGAATCAATATCCACAACCATGATCAGAAGTCAAAAGAACCCGAGAAGAACGAAAATGCTGGTACCAAATAGCAAATACGCTATTTACAGAACATATCTATATTTGCAATGACTCACTGCGAGGGATAAACGGCAATCGCCATAGTCAAGAGCATCATGAACAATGATGAGATCCTCATTACCCTAATAACAAAAGGTACAAATTATAAGCTTTCATGAAATGAAACTGGATTATTAACTAGATAACAGCTTTTTTCAAGAACTACCTGCCCATATTCACTAACGGTATCAAGACCCACAATGCCAAGGTCCAAGTCCCCAGACAATAATTTCCGTACAATGTCTTTGGGCCTCTGGAACCACACTTCCAAGTTCGAGATCTGAATAAAAGAAAAGCACCCATTTTTCTAAGCTTTATCTATCGCCTTTAGAACATCACAATCGACATAGATAAAAAAAATAAATAGATAAACAAAACAAAACAAGAACGAACCTGGGGGATCTCTGCAACGTACTGTCGAGGATTAACTTGCTTCACTGACAATTGACAGTCCTAATTCAACCAAAATTTTGAGAGAGATAAATAACCAAAGTGTTAAAAATTTGGTCAACTCGATTTAGGTTAGAATCTTCTCTCGGTATCTCGAGAACCAAACAGGAGGAAGGTTTTTTTCTTTTCTGTTTTTCTTAGCTTGGGAGAGAAAGATAATCAAAATGCTGAAACTTCCGTCAAATTTTGATAATTCTATAAGGTCAGAGCTTTCTATTTAGGTTACAACTTTCTCTCGGTGTCTCAGGAACCAAACAGGAGGAAGGTTTTTTTCTTTCCTTTTTTCCTAGCTTGGGAGAGCAAGATAATCAAAATGCTGAAAATTCCAAAAAAATTTGACAATTCTATTAGGTCAGAACTTTCTATCAGTTTCTCGAGAAGCAAACAGGAGAAGAGGGGTTTTTTTCCTATATTACCTTCAGAAGATCGAGGGTATCGGCGGCCATTCGACCTTTGCTAGGAAGTCCAAGACGAATCTCATTCCGCTCGGAGATTCTCCCTTCCGCTCTGCCATTGACGACGGCAACCTGCGACTGAGTAGCGCAGCACCAGAACGACGCCGTAGCCGGCGGCTTCACCTTGACGACGGAGACGCGAAACGACGGAGACGAAGAGAAGAAGGTGAGGGAGGGAGGTGGGGAGGAAGGGCATTTTGGTAATGTGGGAAGAACAGACATGGCTGCGATGGAGCTCCGATCGATCGGGAAAAACGGCGGCGCGGCAGAAGTTTGGTAGTGGAGAGAGAATGATTTTTTGGATATTCTTGTTTGTGGGGAAACTAGGCCGCCAAATCAAGACAACATACATATACACTTGTGAGAGAAAAAGTTGTCTTATTTTTTTATTATTTATTAATTTAGGAGTAATTTGGTACGTATATTCAAAATCACGATTATGCTATAATATATATTTTTTTATTTCTCATAAAAAAATTTAAATAAAAAAATATTTTTATTAATACCTTTTTTATAAAAAATTTAAATCAAAATTTAAATCATGATTTAAATACTCTTTTTAAACAGACCTTATGATTAGTTTGAGTGAATGATAACGAAATAAAAGAGGGGAAAAAAGAAATATTGTAGTAAATAACATATGATTAGTGCACTTCTGAGTGAATGATAACGAAATAAACGAGGGGAAAAAAGAAATATTGTAGTAAATAACATATTTTTAAAATTAAATTAAATAAATAGAATTTTTTCAATAATTCGTCATACTAATAGTTTTAAGACCCGTTTAGTTCGCTGATTTGAGTTTTTAATTCAAGTTGAGATGTGAGAGCTTTTTACTGTAACAAAAAAGTTAGATGTGACTGTTTCTGAGAGCTTTTTACTGTAGCAAAACTCAAATTTTAAACTCGAATCGGTGAAGTGAACGGGTGGTTAGTTTATTAAAAAGTATGCCAAAAAAATAAATTTTAATATAAATCTGATAGTTAAAAAGTAAAAAATTATTAGTAGTCTATTTTTACAGGGACTACCATAAAAAGTCTCTTAATAGTAAATTTTAAAACTATTTGAAGTAAATAACAGTTTACATGATAAATGAATCATTTATGTGTGTAAATGATTCATTACGGGTAAAAAAACTAACACGGTAAAAAATCTTAAAAAAATTTATTTACATGGAAATTTTTTTTTACCAATCATAAAAAGAAAATTTACTTGAACAAAATATTTTTACCAACTGTAAATGAAGTATTTATGCAATAAATAATTTATTTATAACATAAACTGTTATTTATTTTAAATAATTTTAAAATCTGTTATTTACTTAATTTAATTTTATAAATTTACTGCGTTCATCTAAACAAACGCTCACCTACATCGCCATTTATTTTTCTAGTAAATTAATTATCTTCTTATTTAGAAAAAAAAATTATTTCTTGCAAATTCTGTTATCAAAAGCTGTTACCCGCTCAAAATAAATAACTTGCGTCTCTTAAATGTAATAATAATAATTCGTGTTTTTAAGTTCTCTATAATAGTAATAACTAGTGTGTTACCCGTGCATTTACACGGTGGTATAGTTATCAATGAAAGCAGTTCTTTTATTTTAATCTATAATTATAAATCTTACAGATAAATTATTAATACAGATTTGAAATAAATATATAAGTTATAGTTAACCATCAGAAAAATGTATTATTTCTATTTTGTTTGTGTGCAGTGTTATCGAATAATAAACATGAAATTAATAAATGCCTCATAAAGGAAAACGCTTACATACTAAAACGTGGATATAAATATATAAAATATTAAGGGCCCATTCATTTCGTTGATTCGAGTTTAGAATTCGAATTGAGATGTGATGTTGTGTGAGAGATTTTTTACTGTAACAAAAAAGTTAGATGTGATTGTTTCTGAAAACTTTTTACTGTAGCAAAACTCAAATTTTAAACTCGAATCTGCGAAAGAACGGAGCCTAAGTAACAAAACACATTTTGTATAAAATATAAATAAAATATGCAATATAACGTTCAAAATCTCACTTTTGTATTCAAGAGAAAACCGCGCTAACGAATAGCCAAGAGTACACATTTTTGTTCTTTTTTTTTGTTTAGAAATACAACCCTGAACAAAACGTCAAATCTGTTAGAAATAAAAAAAAAATACTATGAAACTACTATTACTTTAAAAAATACAATTTATGGCAATTGTTGTAGGAAGAAAAAAAAAACTAATACACATAATTTATTACATTACGTTTACTCTAATAAACAAATTAGATACAATTTTTTTGTCGGTAGATAGAAAAATATACATTCTTTACATATATCAACTAAATAAATAAGAGAAATTGTCGGGAAAAAATGAGAATAAAATAATAATATTGAAGTAAACAAACAAAACATGACACAAAATTCATAAATGTCACAAAAATATTTAAATATGTAATAAATTTCTATATCTAGGAAATAGTTTTTTTACATATATAAATAAAACATATAAGGTTCATATATTTCCTTTAATCTGATAGCAACATATATCATCAATAATTTAAACATGACTTGACAATGTCTCTGGCTGCCAACAAAACTATTAAGAATTTATGCTGAATAAGAAAGAACAAAAAACATCAGCGAACTGAACAGAAAAATAAAGGAAAAAAAACCGGTAAAATGAGATATAGAAGAACAAATAAAGAGATAATAATATAAGGTTCAGGTTTTTTTTTTTTTTTGTCCATGGCTGCCAACTAAACAAACTATTACGCATTTATGATGAATATGAATGATGAATATGAAAGAACAAAAAACATTAAGGAACTGAACAGAAAAATAAAGAGAGAAAAAAAACGGTGAAATCAAATATAGAAGAACAAAAAAAGAGATAAAAAATTTAAGAATAGACAGCATAAAAAAACATGAGGAAAATAATGTCAAAAAAAAAAGATAACAAAATAATCCTAGATAATTGAGGTAACACTAAGAGTAAAGACTTCTATTAACAAAATAAAACATAGTAATGATATCTAATAAAACAAAATAAAAACTCCTATTAGCGAAACTAAACATAAACATCAACTCCTATTAATCATAGCCAACAGAGTAACATGGTATTATTTTTAGAGAAATAAAAGTATACTAACATAATGACTCCTAATAATAAAACAGAACATCTTAATCATATCCAACAGAAAAAAATCATATAAATATTAATAAACTTAAAAGTAAAGATAACAATAGAAAACGAAAGAAACTACACAAAAAACGTGTAAAGAGTAAAAAAGTAATACCCCATTCTAAGATGAAGAACAGACAGAGTAGAAATTTCTCAAAAACAGTAAAGATACTAACAGAAGGTGGATATGAGTTATATGTAAACAGTGTAAAAAACAGAGAAGCCAAAAAATAGGAGATCACTATAGTCAAATGATGAAAAAAGAGAGAATGAGAATCTTCAAATACACAACAAAACACACACACACACACACACACTATATATATATATATATATAACAATATCATAGTCATTATCAGAACACATTAGGTATATACACAACAAATCGTATTTATACACATTATTAAATAATCTGGGCAACATCAGGGGCTGCCAAATCAAATTTAAAAACTACATGATGCACGGCAACAATAAAAAGAAAATACATCATCATGACCATAAAAAAATAAAGCGTAAAAAAATTCAAAATGGAAAAAATATATTCTTAAAAAAACCTAAATTATTAAATTTATTCAGAAAAAAGTCTTTTTTCAATAAATGTATTCTGAAAAAAAAAACGGCATCCCTAAATAGAAGAAGAATACAAAACAAAATAAAACAATTTGAGAAGTAGAGAAGTTATAGAAAAAAAATATTAAGAACAAATCAAATTTTTCAGTGTGAAAGAATAAAGACGAAAAGCCAAATCCTAAATTTGAAACAAAAAAAAAAACTATATGAAAAAAATCAGAAATACCTGAGATGCAGAAGAGCAACTGACGGAATAGATCCAGGAAGAAAACAAAATTTTTTTAAAAAAAACTACCAAATAGAACAACGAAGTATTAAAAACTAAGCAGAAGAAAGAAAAGCTAAAACAGAAGCATAGGAAAAGCTAAAAATGATAAAGAATAAGAGGAAACTAATATATATATACAAATAACCAATATCTGAAGAAGCTCCAATACATAATCCTGCAAGGAAACCTGAATCAACATAATAATTAATTAACAACAGGTGTTACGCAGCATGAAAATTACCGTAAAACGGAGCCAATAACTAACGGACAATAAAACATTAAGCATCCGTTATACAGATTTACAACACGTGAAAAAATAAATTTTTGATCAGAGCTCGATAAACATCCCTGGAAACAAAGAATAAGCTTATGTAATTATCACAATAACAGGTGTTGTATAGCATGAAAAGCACGGAAAAACACAACCACTGTGGGTGGCAGATTTGTTAGATATTCCGGACGATAAAGGAAGAAAAAAATCATTAGCTCATTTAATGCTACGGGAACAAAAGGAATACAGATCATCAATGTAAAAGTACAAACTAAGATCCTGAGCATTACACATCATCACCGCAAATTAGCAAAGTAAATTAATTTAGCCACAACGGAGGCACCAAATCAACAAAGAAAATGGAAAATTTGGTACTCACCTATAGGAATCAACCATGCCAAAGATCAAATGCATGCATATAAATCTCCTTGTATGAAGCCGAATAAGCTGCTGAAAAAAGAAAAGCAAACGAAGAAATTCTAGAATGATCCGTGAGAGGAAAAAAATTAAAAAGTATAAAATAATAATAGGCTTAAAACACGTAAAAAACTCTAATAAATCAACCACAATAAAGAGCAAATTACCAACAACAACAAAACGGTCATTTAAAAAAAAAAGAACAAAAAATGAAAAACGGAAAACAAAAAAGTGCATGAAACCCAAAACATTCATTCTGGCAAAAATAGAGGGAAAAACGCATACGAAATCCCAAATGAGAACAACCTAAAAAGCAAAGAAATAACGGCAATTAAAAAAAAGGCACTGAAGGGAGAAAAATAAATGGAGAAAAAAATGACATAAAATAGAAAGGGGAAAAACACATGAAATTCACGGCGGAAATCCCTACACAAAACATCATAAATAGAGGTAAAAACACATCCAAAATCCCAAATGAGAACAACCAAAAGACGAAAAAAGGAAAAAAAAGGCGAAAAGGACATAGAAATCTCGGGCGAAATCCCTAATCAAAGTAGTAAATTGTGATTGAAGACGAACAAAAAAAGCCTAGACCGAAACGATTGGAAATACCAGAATGAAATAAGTAATAAGAGCAACCAAAGCAAAAGAGCTGCAGAGAGAGAAAATAGAAATGAGTGAAGTCCAGAAGCTTCACGGAAAGGATGAGAGAGAGAAGAAAAGGAACAACAAAAATGGCCAGAAGAAATGAAGCTAGAAGCTTCACGAAAAGGAATAGCAAAAGGCATACAGTGCTATTTTGAATCAAAATTACTAAAATACCCAAATAAAAAACAAAGTAGAAATAAGCAACCAAAGATAAAACGGTAAAAACACAAATTTATTTATTTTTTGATACTTTTTGTTTATAATTAATTTGAAGGTATGATGTGATATGTTTCTGTGCATCTTTTTCAAGAAAAAAGCTCTTTTATACGGTTATTGTTATAGTACATAATTTCTTTTACTGATGAAAAATGAAGATAATTACGTGGTCATGATAATTGTATCAATTCAATCCAAATGTCAGACATTGGAAACGGTAAAAGAAAGAGGACCAAATCAAATGACCAAAATGCCCAGAAAAAAACACATAAACAAAATAAAACTGAGGGTAAAACAGTAAAAACACTCAAAATGACATAAACGGTATAAAAAAGACTTGAACAGAAAAAACATGGGCAAAATTGGAAAGTCACTGTACTTAATACAGTAACTTTCCTACCTCCTTTAATAATAGGTATAATTTGTGTTTTTAAATTCTCAAAATTTTTATAAATTTACTGCGTTCATCTAAAAAAACGCTCACCTACATCGCCATTTATTTTTCTAAGGTAAATTATCTATCTTCTTATTTAGGAAAAAAAAAAAGTTATTTCTTGCAAATTCTGTTATCAAAAGCTGTTACCCGCTCATAGTAAATAACTTGCGTCTCTTAAATGGAATAATAATAATAATTTGTGTTTTTAAGTGATCTATAATAGTAATAATTTGTGTTCTTAAGCTCTCTATAATAGTAATAATTTGTGTTTTTAAATTCTCGAAAATTTTAATTTATTTCGAAATATTGCATGCTTTAAAATTTAATATAATAACTTGAAGAGGCTTCTGTCCAAAACACACGACAGGAGTCATCTATTGTTATTTCATTTTTATATTGGTATTCCACGATGACAATTGCCGAGCATAGTGAATATGCTTCCTCTCTCTCTCTCTCTCTTATTTATTTATTTATTTTTCAGATTGATACGCTATCGAATATACTTATAGTATGCCATTTTATAGCGCAAGAAATACGTCTTATTTTCCTTTCATCGTATCTATGATATATTACAACCATACATTAATGTTCCAACGACAGTGCCCAAAGGGGATATTTGTGCAAGTTAATAAGATTGTAAAATTTAAGCACTTAACTCAAAATGCAAAGACTAAACTAGGAACTTTCCACCACCGCCACCCTGGAAGGCTGAAACCAAGAACCAAAACGGCAAAATGTGTCTATACAGCCATAAGAGACTTTGGTACCAGTTGAAGGCCAGTCGTAATTACTCCACTAATGAACCTTCAGCTCGAAATCTGTCGTAGGAACCGCGTTGCGAATTGAATTCTTGTATTCGTGAAACTGCAACCAACAAAGTTGAAAAAATCAGAACCATTTTCAGATATAGACTAAGAACGTTTGACAGAAGATCGATCCAAACATGCAGATGCGAACAATGCGTAAGCAAAACTGGTGTAAAGCACAAGTGCAAGTTAAAGTTCCAAGATGAAAAAAAAAAAAAAAAGAAATGGCAAGGAAACTGCTTTTTGAAGTTAAGAAGTTAAAAAGGGGTCTATTTTAGAAGCAACAGTTAGGATGCAGTTTTACCTCTTTGACAATCTCCTCGCCTTTCGTAAGTAACTCTTGCTGTTTAGCTGCTCCAGCTTCATTTACCGATTTTGTTTTCACATTTATAGCCTCCACCTATGAATGACAACAAAGACACTACAGCATTACTAGATTTCTAAGATATCAAACAAATGAAGCCAGAAAAGCAAGCGATGAAGAAGCACCTCTGCTACTACAGCTTCAACATTCTTCTGCCTTGCTTCCAGATCACGCCTCCTCAACTCCATCTCCATTTCCACTCGATTATATTCTTTAAGGGCCTTCTCACACCTGACATCTCTTTCTTTTTCTGACTGCTTTACGGTCTCCTCCAACTGCTCCTCTGGAGAATGAGAAGACAAGGCTAAGGGCTTCATCTCTACTAAAAGTCAAAGTGTGTCGTATGCAAACTAATAGGACGTTGGCTTACACTCTTAAATATTGGTCAGGAGGGGGAAATCATAAACTCAATTGAAACTTTAAAAAACTAACAAAAAAATAATACCTCTTCTTTGCCATTCCAACAACTTGGCGTCGAGTGACTTGTCCAATACTACCAAATCACTTACTTTAGTTTTTAGAGCCTTGTAATCTTTATCAACAGATTTAGCAGAGTTTACCTATAAAAAATACACACATTATAAACCTACTCACGCTCCATAAAAACTTATTGTTTGAGAAAGAATTATCATTACTTGAGAGCCTTAAAAATATATTAAACCAGGATCTCATGCTTAGTACCTCCACGTCCATAAGGACAGGACTGAATTATATAACTTAAAACCACATAAGGACTTATTTTTTCCTTTGGAGATGGAGGTATTCAAACTTGAAAGACTAACAATCTTAAGTATGTAACCTTATATCCTGAAGCAGTTTATATCTAAAACATAAAAGAAAAAGAAGAGAGAAGACAATGAGTTAGAACACGTCTAAAGCTATTACGAAGTGGGGAATATCATTTCATGAAAACCATTCTAGCCAGCCAAACTCGAAAACTGCCAGGCTAGATATTATCACAAAACACAAACACACAAGGTTAGATATGTTTGAACCTGTTCTTGTATAGCCTGCATCTGAGCAAGGTGCTTCGTCATTTTCTTGGAAACCTGAGAAACAAAGGAGGAAGATGCCACCAACCAAATTTGGAATTAGTATTTCAATATGTTCTATTAGTTGCCTGTCTTAATGTACAAATAAATTCCAGCTATACATATA